TTCTTATATATCTTCTATTTTTTTAAATCTTTTGCTATGTCTTAGTTACAGGGTTTTCTTTCCAAAGCTGTAATCAAGTGGTAAATTTTTCTCATGGCTATGGCTGATTCTTTGGATGAGTATCACACTTCTGTTAGCCAGGAGAGTGTCCTTCAGGGTTCATTTTCTAGCATGTTATTTACTTTCTGTAAATTCTTATGTATGCTTGGATATAACTTTTTTTTGTATATGTAAGCAGTTGCAGATGATATGTGTATTATTATGACTGACGTACTTCCATCCTCTTCAGAAAAGTTTAAGATTTTCTGAGTTCATTTTGTGGGTGATGATTAGGATATAAAAGAGGTGGTTACTTTCCTTTAGCATTCTAATATTATAAAAGCCCAAGTCTGGCTGACGGAAACAGACAATCAGAGTGCTCCAAGCGGGGGGAAGTGCCGCCATGATTCCGAAGCCAGGCCGAGGACTGGACAGAGGGTGGAGGAGCTGAGGTCAGCAGCAAGCAGCACTGGCCTTGGCTCCTCCACCCCGCTCCCTGCAAGAGGCAGAACAGCGGCAGCATGGGACATAAGGTGGCAGCACTCCATCCCATGCCTCCCCGTCCCCCCTCCCCGGTCATTCTTGATGGGCAATTGGCTAGTTCTTGGTATAATGATGAGGGGCTCAATGTGTAAGCATTCTGGAGTAGGTTTGGTACCCAGGAATTCTATTTTTTGTAGATTGCTAACATATATTTCAGTATCTGCACAAAGTTTGGAAATTTGTCCATTGCTGTTTACTTTTCTAAGCCCCTTTCAGTTTGTTTTGCTGTTGCGGTAGCGAGGTAGTATCAGATGTCGAAGAATTTGAAACTATCAGGTTTTTTGAGTTTATTTCAGGTCTTCAGTTGATTTCATGCCTGAAATGGATAATTTCACCTAAAAGTAATTTTAAGTATTTTTTTTCCTTTGGCCCATTATTTTGCTTTTTATTGTTACTTCAAAACTTAAGATAGCTAAAAGCTTCAAAAATTAGTGTAACATGGTGTACAATTTTGTTCAGCTAAAAATGTGAGTGGCTGATCATAAACTTTTTTTTTTTTTTTTTTTTTTTTTTTTTTTT